CATCTCTTCAATCATGCTATCCAAACACGAACACGTCATAGAGGTGAGTTGATACCCATAGTTCTTTGATGTTTTTAGGGGAAATACAAGTAAAACACAAGGACTCTTCTGTTAACATTCCAATGATTTTAAAACCTTTTTGCAATTGATTCAAACAGATTTACCACTACAGTTTATAGAAATATATTTATGTATATTTTTAACCCTATTGTAACATGTTGAGAAAAAGGGTACTTTTCACTAATTCATGCACACAGTTAAATTGCAAAGGTTTTTAGTGCATTACAGATCATTACATTCAAATTATAATAGGTATAGTTTTGGAAACACTACTCTTATACATTGATTCAAGGATACGATACTAAATAATTATTTAAGTATAATTAAATTACATTACAAAGTACACTACTACAAGGTAATACATACAGTTTCAAGTACAAGGGAACACTACTACATTACACATAAACTAGTAAATCCAGGGTTATGAGGCACTACTTCAATTGAACCCCTTGGGGTACGGGTCTAAGTCCTATAAAGTATAAGTATAGTCTCCTAGAGGGAGATTGTGACTTTGTGTATAGATCTATACGGGATCAACAACCCCGCACCTAAACAGTTAGCGACAGTTAGGTCGACAGACCTTTGGTGACAAACATCATAACATTCCAACGCCTGAAGAACTTCGTAGAGACCACTAGTCACCTTTGCATGTTTATATGAAACTCAAAACAGTATTAACTAAAACATTTGTTTACGGGATTAACACTACTATTTTATTTTAATTAATAAAACTACACTACACTACTATATGTTACAAATGGTGGTATCTAGACAAATGTTTTCATACAAACAGTACACTACTATACATTACGGCTGGTGGTATCCAGGCATACATACAAAGGTTTTCATACAAACAATACATTACTATATATTACAGTTGCTGGTATCCAATCATACATACAAAGGTTTTCATACAAACAATATATTACTATAGATTACAACTGGTGGTATCGAGGCATACATATAAAGGTTTCATAACAAACACTACTACGATACACTATTTTCCTAGTATAGAGAACTCTAGTACTACATATGGTTTAGGAAAGCATACATTATTTGGTTTTATTCATTAATAAGACTACCTACGCTACTACAAAGTATAGTAACAAAATACATTTTGGTCTTAAGGCCTAAGGCTACATTACATACATTATAGAAAATATTGGATATTCTGGAGGAACAAACTATCATTTTCAAAGTATAGATATAAGTTTTCCATCATTAGAACATACTTATGAAGTCACTAACTAAAACGTTGATACACTTTCAAAACCACTTGTATTCTCAGGGAAGTGGTAGATAGGTACAACCACAGGTTTTCAGAAGACGAATCTTTAAGAGTCACATCTTTTACACTTTTGTTATAAATTTTTTGTGTCAAACAAACTATGTATCGAACAGATGTAAATACTTTACTTATTCAATGTAATGGGTGTGTTTGCTTTGATTACTATTACGCAATTGTTGTGATACTGTACATGACATCCTCCGCCCCTGAAAGTTTTCGCCGTTTCGGTTTGGGGGTTTGGCATATTAATCTGGATTTGTTTTTATTAATCGATTTGCATTTGGGAGTATATTTGGGATTTTTGATTTTTGTGAGTGTATCAGTGTTTTTTGCACGAGTTTTGGCTTTTGATTTTTTTTTTTTAAATTGCAGCTTCGATGTTGGATTTGGATTTGAATAATATGTTCCTTTTTGGTTTTTCGATTTGATTCTCAGGTTTTATTTTGGTTTTGGATTAGAGTTAAAGCTTTTGTTGTAGATGTACTTTCAGATTTATTGTTGAAGGTCAGGTAGTTTGTGTTGATTTTATGGTGATTTCCATGACACTGGATCTATAGCGGAGAGATGATGACTGGAGTCGAAGATGGAACCGGTGATGATGATAGGAGGTGGTGTCAAAGTTGGAAGAGGATTAAGCTGGGGTGGGTCCCTTTAATAATAATACTTAATAAAGTTAGTTTATTTAATAATAACTTAAATAAAAAATGAATTAACAAAATAAAATTATCATTAAGGGAAAAATAGTCATTTTATGTCTGGCAGGGACCATATACGTAATAGAAACATACCATGAGGACTATCCAAGTTAGAAAAAAAAAAAAGTTAGGTACCAAACGTGCTAATTTTCCCAAACCATAGGGACTATCCGTGTAATTTACTTAATAAAAAGTTAATGGTCTAAAGCCTGTCTATTGGATGGGTAAAACCTAATTAGACTCGATATAATATTTTTTGTAACCTAATTAGAGTTGATTCAATATTCTTTGTTGCCTTAGCTCCCCATTATTGTTTGTTTCCAAAAATCCTTTAAAACCCCAAACTAAAATGAATTTGGATTCACAAAGGTGTTCCTCTATTTATTGAAAAGACATTCTAGAACTCCTTTTATAATATAAGAAATTGCATGGCTTCGGTTGGTCACTTGCGGGAAATGAAGTCTTTGATGCGCGAGAAGGCTGCCTTCGCAAGGCTTGCTTGAAAGTCCCAACTGAAAGGACGGTTAATAATTAGTAGTTGGCCTACGCTTTGGTTCTCATGCCTCGTTTTGTTGACGTCGTGCGTAGGATAAATGATTTGCACCGACTAACCAATTAAGCTATTTCTGCTAGTTACGGTAGTGGCGAAGCACTACTGAGCAATTCACGTATCACTTGATACGGACGACTTCTTTTTTTTCCGTGGGACCACAGTCTTGACCTCTGATCGAGCTACAAACACGAGTAGGTAGGCTGGGGGTGGCAGGGCTGTGCCTTTTCAATCAATCTCTAGCCGCTCCGCTATTGGTGCGAACTGTAAGGAGTCTCTCGAGTCAAGCTGGGGCATCATTGTCTTTTAAGTTAAGTTATTTCCTAAGACGAATCCTCTTATTCTTTCTACGATAATCCAAACTGCAGCTCCACGAGTCTGCTCGGAACCAGTTGATTTCTGAGCCATATTTTCTCCCCTCTCGGTTGGCCTTTTCCAGCCACTAGAGCAAGTAAGAGAATCTACAGTGAATGAACTTAAAGCAGTCTATTTTCTTTCATTTTCTCTTTGTAGCAATCTTTCTTAGTGCACCCGTAAAGAGAGAATGCTAGGTAGCAGGACAACAGGAGTTCAGTAGGCGGGCTAGTTCACATTAAGGATAGCAAACCAAGGGTTGAAAGAAAGTAGTAAACCAGTCAGCTAGCTGAAGTTATCAAGTTCAGAAGTAGCAGCTCTCCTAGTTGCACATTCATCTTCCTCTCTTGCTCCACTTTCACTACCCACAGCAAAGCTAGGAGATTCCTGAATAGTTTGTTGCTTTCCTTCATTTTCATAAGAAAGGTGATGCATCTGTTCCACCTTATCTAGATTTTCTTGCTATACTTATGTTTTTTTTTTGGTATAAATTTGACAATAATAAGATCATACAGTTTGGTTTCTTCTTGAAGTTAATGATATGAATCGCTAGAACGATTCATACATTGGGCTAAATGCGATTATGTATATCAAACTCTTTCCTTGTAGCTTAAAGTTAAATTTAGTACATGTATTCTGAAGAAATTCTGAAAGAAAGAAACGTAGAAAGTAAAACATAAACAATTTTTTTAAGGGTTAATGATCTAGAAAGTTAACAAACTTTGGTCTTTGTCTACATATAGGTAACTATGTTTTTTTGTACACATTTGACCATTGAACTTGTTTGACCTGTCCAAAATAAGGTAATATGAATGGTAATTAGCGGTAGATTACCCTATTATGAACAGGTCAAACAAAACAACAAGTTTACCGGTTAAATGTGTACGAAAAAAACATTGCTACCTAAATATGGAGAAAAACCAAAGTTCCTTGACTAGTTTGGTAATATTGGGTTCTTTATGCTAAGTGCAATATGTAACATGGAATTGGGATACCAGCTCTTTGTGTTTAAGAACATGGTCAGGTCTTGGGTTAGTTTAGGCCCAACTAGTTAGGGGCTAGGTTATATACACTTAAGGGGCTAGGTTGTATGCATTTTAGAGACATGGCAGCACAACCTAGCCAATGATTAGTTGGGCGTGATTGGATTGGCCCAAGCCAAACCTAATTGTCCGTTGACCTAGATTTATAAATAGAACACCTCCTCCATGAGGATGATATCTCATTCTCTAACATAAGCCTCCACTTTATACATATAGTCTTCCTATCAAGATGTTTCTCCATCCAGGAGAAACTATCTCTTCATACACCATAGTTGTCAATAGCGACCATAGCGGTCACTATAGCGAATAGTGTAGCGCATAGGTATAGAGTCGCTATTGAGTGTTTAGCAATAAATAGCGAGGTAAATAGCAACATTAGGTTTTTTTTCCTCCTTTTTAACAGATAAATCACAATAAAAGCGATAAGGGTTGAAGTTTTGAACGTTTTTAGCTAGTTTAGTGGCTTGTTTCCTTATTTATTGATTATAAATTTATAATAACTATAATAGTTGAACATAATAAATATTTTTAATTTGTTTATGCATATCGCTAAATACGAAATAGCGTTCGCTATTTGATCGCTATCGCTACATAGCATATAGGTAGCTCGTCGCTATTTACCACTATTCACTATCGATAACTATGTCATACACATCGATGTAACTTGACTATCGGAATCCTTGAGACAGTTCTAACAGTTTTTTATATGATGGCACCTAAGAATCAAGTCAAAAATATGCTAACAACACCTACACTAGATTGGACATAAACCCGATAGCCCGACTCCATGTCACATTAGTGGGTATTATAATTACTTGCACTTAGCATAAAGAATCCAATATTACCAAAATGTGTAAGGAACTTTGTTTTTTTACCATATTTCGTACACATTTGACCAGTAAGCTGGTTTGAAGTGTTCATTACCAGTCAGATTATCCTATTTTGAACACGTCAAACAAGTTCAATGGTCAAACGTGTATGAAAAAAACATGGTTCCCTACACATGTACAAAGACCAAAGTTCATTACCTTTCTAGGTCATTAACCCTTTTTTAATGCCCAACCATTCATGCATAAGAAAGCCTTTTACAACTAATTTGTGTCTAATTACAAGGTCTGAACTCAATGCCTTGCACAATAAGCCCTTTAAGCGATTGGTCAATGGGAAAGTTGATTGAAAGTTTTACAAAACTCGAGGGAGTTTGTGTAAGTTGTTCATCTATTTGTACCTCCATCCAACCATCTTTCCTTTGTTGTGGAAGGCCTTTTATTTTGGGTCTATTCAATGGGTTGTGAGTATTTTCATAAGCCTTTCGTCTAATGATTGGAGTTTGAGGACTAATCAAATAGATATATCGTGAGGTTGATAATGACTGACTAGTCCTCCACACTTTCAAAGGAGGCTCAAATCCAGAATGGTTTTCTTGTAATTTGTAAACAAGGTAAGCTCCATAACATGTTTCAGATGACAATATATTGGACGTATTGCAACGTATAGTAAAGCTACAAGTAGGATCAAAAGCTACTTCTTCAAATCTGCAAAAAGACATTGCGTAATTTTATAGAAATGCTAAGTTTTATTGAAAGTTTAAACTATCCCAGGACCCTTGAGGTATTTATTTGTTAATTACCCGTACGCAAAATGTAGAGAATTGGGCCATGTCTACCAAAAATAAGTTAGCTTATGATAATTTATTGTTTGGTAAAACCACAAAAATAGCTTATAAACTAGCTTCAGAAAGTTTATAAGCTATCATAACTGATAAGTAGCTTATCATAGCTTATAAGGTAGCTTTTTGATAAGTTAGCTTGAGATAGTTTATTGATAAGCTAGCTTATAAGCAAAGGTCGTGTTTGGCGTGCCATAGCTTGATGATAAGCTAGCGTCGGAGTTTTTTTTTTTTTTTTTTTTTTAATATACCCCTTAATTAATTATAGAAACACATTTTTTAAATGTTATTTTATTTCTTTCGGTTAGCATTTCAACTAGTTTTATCAAACATTATTTTTTATGAGCTAGTTTTTTGTTTAAGAGCTAGCTTTTTCAGCTAGTACGCCAAACATATTCTAAAAGTTGGTTTTTTAGTTAGTGCGCCAAACAGGGATTTATTACAAGATAAAAGACTGGGAGTGGCAGAAGAGAATAGAACCTTGATTCGGGTAAATATCGCCAACTCCACTTTTTTCTTTTCAAAGCCGCCGTTGCTGGTAGCATAATACATTTATTCCCATCTTTGTCGAGAGAAAACCACTGACATTTATTAATATCTATGTAAGTACTTGTTTGAGAATTCTGTAGTTTTCCACAACAACTATATATAATATATTTACATATTTGCAGCACGTGATAGGGAAATAGCAAATTTACCTCTTCGCCTTGGATCTGGATAAGGAACCCTTTGCAAAGAATAGAATAAAGTTCCTTCTTTGTTGTCCAATGCAACTTATCTTTTGACCACTTGATTATGGTTTCATAATCACTAGGTAATTTTTCTTTCCAATATGCATCTGAATGAGACATGTCCTCCTGCATATCTACCTCCCTCTCATCCTCCAATTCTTGATGTTCTAGAATTTGTTGGCTTACTATTTCCACGGGCTGAAACTCAATGCCTTCTACTAACAACTTATTCCAACATTTAAACGCAATTTCAAGATCAACATTTCTGTTGTCGCTAGTAAACTGATACAATTCAGCTGTCAACCATCCATCTTCTCTCGTATCTGCTAAGTACAAACTAGAAGATTCTGTTTCCCCAGCCAGTATGTACTCGAGGTGTGAATTGGTAGAATCTGAGTCGTATAAACAGAACACAAGGTTTACTGCGTATGTGATATGTGGAGACAAATATTGTGTTTTGACACGTATTTTGAAATCCGAACAAATTTGTGTATTCATGTGGTCTGTAAATCTGCAACAAAGGTGCAAAGAATAACATAAAACTCTATAGTCACTAATAAAAAGGATGGGGGCAACTTACCTTGATTTTTCCTTAGCATAAAATTCAATATACTGTGGTGCAATGGTAATTGAATAGAAACACTCTGCTGCGGATATCATTTCACAATGCTCTCCATTCTTATTTAACCAAAACCACTGTCCATTAAAAATTAAAAAGAACTCATGTTAGAGTAGAGAGCTTCTTTGTTTTACATCTTATATACGTGGATTTTAGTATTGTGATTGTGGTTGAAATGTGGTTAAGTAGAAAGTCATTTAATTAGTTACATCATCATTCTTTGTGGCAAATGCATTGTATATTTTGCAAGAATTGTTTTGTGAAATTCCTTAAAACTACAATTAAGCTATACATATAATTACCGTTTTGCCCTGGTTAAGGAAGATTCCTTCAGAGAGAAGAATTTCTATTTCCTCTTCGGATCTGTATGCTAGAGAAGGGACCTCAGTCTTACACATCTCTTTCGTTTTTTTAAACTGTGCTGACTTACGCACCTCTTCATAGTTCATTTGTGGTTTGGCCTCTTCAAAATTCTCTTGAAACCGAAGCGCAATATTAAGTTCTTCCACAACACGATACATCTCTGGTCGTTTTTCACGGGATTTCTTCAAACATTGATAGGCAATGGATGAATATGTTTCCAATGACCTCGGATCCATC